TATAGATGAAATGATGGTGTAGGCCCAGTAGCTTTATATTAGCTTAGAGAAACTCTCACATTAGGATTAGATCTTATGGCGCAAAATAACCTGGTTAATTCTTTGTATCTTTGTTGGTCAAAAAGCTAAAATCTGTTAGAGGATGTTGTTTTTTTTTTCTAACCATCTCACACTTTGGAATGTACTTTCCATGACATGATGTCATCACAAAATATTAGTTCACTGGATCAAGACAGGTGACATGGTGGAGGAATATATTCTAACACTGCAAGAGGGGGGCGTTGTGCCATTATATAAAAAAAAGGTGGGAAATCCGCAGTAGATTGAGTGTGGATGCTGGATTCAACCTCTTCTTCAGCAGCATATAATGTAGCCTATTGTCGGAGCACCCCAAAGGAGAGATCGATCTCCTGCAACCTGTGCGCGCATGGCACGCATAGGACCGATACTGAGTGGAAGGCGGTGTTGTGGCTGTATATGGTGACGTCTTAAAGGCAGGTCTTGGTCAAACCTACCAATGGTACAAGTCGGTCCTACTCTGCTAGGACTGAGCGCAATGAATGGGTGTCGGAGCTCTACACGGCTAAGGAGCACCCGCAGCGCAACCAGGCGGATAAGGGGATGCGGCATCGGTACGCGGGAGCTGTCCATCAGCACCACATACCCGACGAAAAGCAAGGAAGCAGCGAGCGGAGCCGAGAGCAAGTCGCTCCCGTTTTCAGCCTGCCGCCCCCGCCCTCTTCTCACCAGCGAGTCCGCACTTCAGCCACCGCCGCTCAGCGCCAGAGCCTCCAGGAGCTCCCGTGCGTGAGCCAGCCCTCCCGGAGAACGGTTCGCAGCGGCGACCCTCTGCCGCTGGCAAGCTACAGCACCGGCCGGCGACCTTCACGCGAAACCGGTCAGCAGGATCCCTGGGCCCCGGACGGCTCCCAGCAGCCGCCGCCGCTGCAGTCAGAGAGGGAGGCTGTTTTTCCAAGCTGCCACTGCAGCTTTTCGGAGCAAGAAGCGAGCCTTTCTGATAACCGACCCCATCCTTGTCACCCTCTCCCCCCGAAACCCTCCCCACCGTTCCCACCACGCATACCGCCGCCGCCAACGTCTTCCTCCTCCTCTCTGCTCTTTTCCCGGGGATCTGAACGAGAGAACCGTCTCCGAAGGAGTGCCAATAATCACCAACAGGCGAACGCTGTGGAACGCTGCAGGGGAGGAGGAGGAGCAGGAGGGCACCAAGACCACAGACAGTTGTTGCAGCAACAGCAACAGCAACAGCACTGTCATTTAGGACTCCAACAGAGGGACCCCTCCCCTGAAGGAAGCCGTGCAAACTCACAAAAAGGGCGCTCTTTGGATGCATGCGAGTCAAACGAGGCTGAGAAAGCGTTTCAGTGTCAGACTCCGGATCTGCAGCAGCAACAGATCCCACAGTTGCGTGCGCAGCAACAGCTACTGGTGGGAAGCAGTCTGCCCGTCAACTACTGCGCAAGCGGCTCCGGAGAGCTATGTAGGACTCACCGGGATCCACTGCTGCAACAGCAGCTGCTGCAGCAGCAGCTGCACTGTGACAAAGATCGCAATAAGTGTGGAAGGATCACCGCGGAGGGCGGTCAGGCGCAGCAACACAGCCGCGGCTCCCGCGTAACCCCCCCTGCAGCACCGCCGCCGCCGCCGCCGCGGCACACTTACGCGGGCAACTCGTCTGCTACTGGCAGCCACAGCAGCAGAGACAGCCCCAACTACGGCTCCAGCTATCACCTGTGGCCGGAGAGCCCGCATAAAGGAGAGGAGAGGATACGCATCGACCTCCATCAGGTACATCCCTTCCTTTTTCCTTCACAGCTGGGCGCTAATTAGCTGATCCTGGCAACAAAACTAACTGCTGTTAGGTTTTCACTCAATGACCACGCCTGTCATATGATTTTGATAAAGAACAGGCTTCTCTGCGCGCGTGAGTGTGTGTGTGGTGCTTCACATTATTCCAGCGTCGACAAAAACACATTGATGTAAGTATTTCACATGTGATCCAGCATGTTGCGCGCGTGTGCTAATTGTCTCAATTGTTCAAGTGCGCGCACGAATAGACACCTAAAAAAAAAGAAGAAGAAGCAATGGCGTTGTGTCACGCGCACACACCTGTTCCGTGTTGCAGGCTTGTTTTGGGGGCCCCCGCTGACAGCCGCTTAATGAAGCCGAATTACAGCGTGTTTGTTGCTCCTCCTGAACAGAGGGGGATCAGAAATGTTCGCATTTCTGCCTCCCTGACATAACAAAGAAAGGTTACACCAACACAGGCCTACACCTGCATGGGAGCCGGGCTAACTTCTTTCATTGACATTGAATATATTAAATGTTCTGCCTAGAAAGAGATAAGAAAC